GGCAATTGGCCCCCCTGCCTCCCCCCAAATGACGCCTCTGAGTGGGACTCTTTGTATTTGAAAGGGGATTTGCTAAAACGAAAATGGGAATCAGCTGATGGATCAAAACACCGCATGCAAGTTGTAATACCAAGAAGTAGAACGACCGAAATCCTTGATGAAATGCATGGCGGCCCTTCTGGGGGACATTTAGGAGTGAACAAGACCTTTGACAAAATACGAAAAGGATTCTACTGGCTTCACTTTAGAGAAGCCAGTAGAGAACTGTTGTCAAAAATGTAACACATGCGCTTCAGTCAAAGGACCCAAAAGAAGGCTAAAAGGAGCAATGCAAATCTACAACGTTGGTGTCCTCTTTGAACGGATTGCTATAGATATTGCTGGACCCTTTCCGGTATCAGATTATGGAAACCGTTACATTCTGGTTGTAGCGGACTATTTCAGCAAATGGCCTGAGGTGTTTCCAATACCCAACCAAGAAGCATGTACAGTCGCTGAGGAAATTGTACTCATTTGGATTAGTCGATATGGTGTCCCATTGGAACTCCACTCAGATCAAGGTCGAAATTTTGAGTCACAACTGTTTGGTGAAATGTGCAAGCTGCTGGGTATAAACAAAACTCAACGACACCTCTTCACCCACAGTCTGACGGTATGGTGGAACGATTTAACCAAACCCTGATTGAACATCTGGCTAAAGTAGTCGACGAATATCAAAGGGATTGGGATCGTCATATACCATTGTTTCTTATGGCATACCGGAGTGCTATCCACACAACTACTGGAGAAACGCCATCAAAAGTTCTCTTTGGGACTACCTTAAGAACTCCAGCTGATGTGAAATATGGCGTACCACCTGAACCACACCAACCATTAACAGAATACGTGGATAATCTTCGACAGCGATTAAATCATATCCACTGTTACGTACGCCTTAAAATTATGAAAAACACGGAGGCGGCCAAAACCAGATACGACTTGAAAGGAAGCAGTGGCGGTTTTGCTGTCGACGAGTTAGTTTGGCTGTACAACCCACAGCGAAAGAAAGGAAGTTCTCCAAAGCTCCAGCGAGGGTGGGAAGGACCTTATCAAGTCATCACCCGCTTGAATGACGTCGTCTACCGTATTCAGGAATATCGGAAGCCGAGAGCAAGAATGAAGATCGTTCATTTGGATAGACTGGCTCCGTACCATGCGGACACCGGAACGAAAGCTGTTCGGGACAAACAGAACTAAGAAGGGGGTAATGTTATAACCGTGCTACCAAACGCACTAGAACATTCTAGAATATGCTAGAACTGGACCATCTAGTTCTAGAAGAATCTAGAAACGACGCTTGCGAAGAGTATATAAGCGCACGTCGCAAGAAGATTAGCGATTAGTGAAATTCGTGATTTTGTAAATTCGTGACTGTGATTTTGTGAATAGCGATTCGGTGAATTATTTAAAGCGATATTTGATTTGTTTTGTTGACGTTGTCATAGCGATAGATTTTGAACAATTTAAAAGTTAATTGTTGTGTTAATTTGAATTTGCTAGAAATAAACGATTAGTTGATTTCTTCTGTAAATAAAGTTTAATAACTAATAACTGTTTGGAGTATTTTATTCAATCGAAGATTTGAACCCGTCGCATCGTAAATCGGTAACGACAGCGAGTATTATAACAATATTGTAACAAAGAGTGCCAAATTGGTGATGAAAAATGAAGCGTTGTCTTCATTTTGAAATCGATGCTCGCCTTAGCCATTTAAATTGGACGTGGTAAATAGGCATCCTTTCTTTGAGGAGGTTTGCAATGAATGAACAAGTTGTAAAAAATCAAAATTTTGTTCAAGGTTTTTAAATTAATGAATTATTGAAAAATTGAAAAATTTAGATTAGTAATACCTTTTGATGATTTTTTAACATAAACATATGCTGCATATTTTGCAAGGCAATTTTATTTCACATCAAATGACATTCCTTTTGAAGGTAATGTGACTTGCTCAAAAGTTTTGAGAAAAACGTTTGTTAATAAAAGTTATAATAAAAATAAAGAACATTACATATATCTATAAAAGTTTATGTGTGTGTGTGTTTGTGTGTGTGTTGCGCCATGACTATTTATCATTAATCTGCTCTTTTGTTCGTCGGCAGGAAACCTGTAGTCTGTTGTTAGGTGTTGGTTGCTCTGTGTACTCTGTTCTGCTTCATTGCAACATAATTTCGACATCAACATTATAACAAAAATTTTCTTTTGTAATTTCCGTGTACTGCTCTTCGTTTAGATGACTTTTACGGTTCCTGATTGTGTGGTGAACCTTGTGAATGATTTAGTTCTTGTTAAATCGTCATAGTCAGTCTTGTGCACGTACTCTAATATTGTGATTTTTCGACGAACGAAGTTAGAAGAGGCAGAGCAATGGTAAATAGCGATGACATATCGTTATAAAAATCAGATTAAAAATTTATTTACGTATTATACATGTGTGCGTTGTTTTTGTTGTTGCGTATGTGCATGTATGTGTGTGTGTTTGTGTGTGTGCTGTTTGTGAGAGAGTGTGTGTGGGTATGTGTAAAGCAAAAAACAACAGTTTAATTGCAAATGTTTTTTCTGAATTTTTCGATAGCGTCATTTATTTCATTCTCCGATTTAATTCTCAAGAGATAATTTTGATTGCTGACGATGGAGCTGAAGAGGTTCTGGTCAGGGTAGTCTCCGACGAGGATGGCGTGAATGGAAACAGAGTCACTTTTTACTCGGTCGGCTTCCTAAATGATAGTTTGCTTTCTTTTAATTCAATTTAAGAAATTCATTTTAAAATGATTTTATTTATTTATATATTTCAAAAGAGATTACGAAAAATATCAATATTCAGACCTGAAGTAAATCTTGGTAGAAAGAAATGGAATCAGAATTAGTGATTATGATCGCAATATTTGCAACATTTGGACGATCTCCGCTTTCGGGAACAAAAACCTTAGGTAGAAAGTTCGGTGGTTGTCCGTGCAAGTAACTCAAGGCACTTCCCAATGCTTGCACTCCTGTAGATATTCTAAAAGAAAAAGCTTCGTAGAGATCTTGCGGTCTTGTGAAGTTGTTGAATTGGAACAATAACTTTGCAGAATTTCCAAACTGAATTAAAGAAAATTTGTTGGTGTCAAATGGCAAGGACACTGCGATGGCTCGTGCAAGTTTGATGTTCACGTTGAAGACCTGCTGATAATTCCCTGAACCTGATGTATCTAGAAGTATAGCCACGTCGTTTCCTTTCAAGCAAGCTTGTTTTTTTTTATAAAATTTTAATATTTTTCAGCAATAGTTTTCCAGCATTGTTAAATAAAAAAATAAAATTAAAAGTAAATAATAAAATACAATTACTTTTATCACAATAAGCTCCACCGAAGTTTCCATAGCAACGGCAAATAGCTTCTTTCCTCGAAGCCATGCAAATACCGCCGTTTTGACATTGACTATTTTGGCAATTTGTTTCCGCTAGATTTGTGCAATACAAACGTTTGTGCATGGGTGGTGTATGTGTGTGTTTATGTGTGAAAACAATTTTTCGGTTCATCGTTTAATTAAAAAAACGTTAGAGAGCAAACCCACAGGTAAAAACAGATTGAAGGTAAGGATTCAACTTTGAATAAACCATGTCTCCGTTCTCCACAATGAAATAACTTTCATCTTGACTGACGGGAAACGATGAAAGAGCGTAGAGTTCATATGGGTTGACATCTGAACCGACACCAAACGTTATTATGTATGCTCCTCTTTTTATCCTTAAATCGATAGCTGTTGGAATGGTGGCCAGTTCATTGACATTTGAGTTTCCGTCGGTAAACAGAAGAACAATGTTCCTCGCTGATGGTCTTTCGCCGTTTTGACCAGGGTTCAATATGACATCTCGCTGATTGAAACCAACAAATATTATTATTAGTGAAAAAAAAATTGAAATTTTTCAGTTTCTAAAAAATTAATACAAGTTTGAAATGTTACTAAAAATTAGTTTAATTTTATTTGCCTAATAAAGAGAAAAAATGCAAATAAACAGTAAGAGAAAACCGATTAATTAAAGACGAAATTATTAAACAAATTTTTATAAACGTGTAAAAATGTTTATATCTGTAGCAAGGAGTTTATTTGATGTGCATGACAAGCTTGACAAAATCGACTGAAACAAAATTTTACAATGTATTCAAGGGCATCTGCAGTGTTTGTTCCTTCAGCGTTGAGATCATACGTCACTTGCTGTAAGGCCCAAACGACGTCCTGAGTGCTGGTGTAGGTGTCCAGATGGAACAGATCTGTTACGTACCTGTTCCATTTGACTGCGGCGACTCTTGTTTTCGAAGACGATATTTCCCATCTGCTGACCAAAGTAACAATGAAATTCAGTACGTACCTATAAAACCTCTCGTACCTGATGCTCCCTGATGCATCCATCCCTATCACGATGTCCAACTGACCTGAGTCACCTTATTGTGAAAAAAGTAATGACACTCGCTTCGATTTTTTATTAAATTAAATTTGATAACGGTCGTTTCAACTATCTAAGTTGTTTATAGTTATCTTATAACTTTTAATAATAAACGTTTTGCTCAAAACTTTTTCAAAAGAAATGTCATTTATTTGATGTGAAATAAAATTGCCTTTCAAAATATGCAAAGTTTATTTATATTAAAAAATTATCAAAGAATATTAAAAATCTAAATTTTCAAGTTTTCCAATAATTCATTAGTTTTAAAACCCTAAGTAACTATACATTTATCTGAGTTATTTATAATTCACTAATATCTACTTATATTATAGCAGAATAAACAAGCTGAAATACTTCGTTCGCAGTTGGATCCGGTGCTAACATCGGAGCAAGTACATCGGTATCCATTAATCAGATCAACACAAGTTCCTTGGTTTTGGCAAGGATTTGATAAACATTCATTGTCCGCTGAAGTTAATGTAAAAATTGGTAAAAAATAAAATGAAAAGTTCCAATTACTAAGTAGCTAAAACGAACAATTGCAGAAGGATTTGGTAAGCCTCGTAGTGACGCTGTAATCCAATGGGAGAGTGTCGTCAATAAAAAATATATTTGATGATGGTTTAAATGAAGCGCTACCATCTTCTACCACACTACTTCCGGCAGAAGAACTTGCTATACCATTGATTTCATTCAAAGAATACTGCTGTCCTATAGGTATGACGAGAATTTGAATTGATTTCGATCCAGTCCTGGCCAGCCTGGCTTCCAATGTGCTCGCATAAATATTCGATGAAACTCCACTGACGAATAAAATTAATATATTGTTACTCCCATCCGAGAAAATTGTTGTTCTGACGGTGTTTAGGACATTCGACAAGTTTGTGTACCCATTCCTTTACAAATTTTTTTTGAAATTTTCATAAAAATCTAAACATTAGCTGAAAATTATTTTTATGATTTTCACCTCGGAAAGGCAGATACTGAATCATAGAGACGTTGCTGAAATGTCTGAGTGTCATTTTTTATGGAATCGAACGTTGACAAACTGATGTGTACATCCAACGAATTATTGAAATACACGCCGATGCCAACTCTGCTGTCTCTCAAGTTTACATTTGTAATAACATTCCTCACCAACTCCAGTTGTCTTGCCATGCCTAATGAACTTATACTAGACGTGGCAGTCAGTGCGAAAAATAAATTTGTAGAGTTTCTGCAATCTAAAATATCATCATGTTTCATTTTTAAACAAGTCAATCGGATAAAAATGTTCTAACAATTTGATTCGCAGTTCTTCCCCGCATAGCCAGATTGACAGAAACAAAAGTAAGTGTTTATGCTTTGGACGCACTGGCCGTTTCTTTGGCACAGGGGATTTTGACATTCGAAGGAATCTAAATAGAAACAAAATTTTGCAATATTTCCATTGAAGTAACACAACAATTACAAGTTAACAAACAAAACCAATAACTCACTATCACAAATAGTTGAAAGAAGATTTGTCAAGTTGAAAAAATTATAAACATTTTTTTCATAGGGGTAGCTAGCGATAGAATTGATGACGTTGAGATTGCTGTTCGCTGATGTGCTTATTACAACGATCATGGCTCCAGCATTTTTCAATTGTACCGATTCAAAAACTGTTCTGCCTGGTTCCTCAACGTTTCCAGTTGTCAATAGAAAAATCATGAGAGGAACATTTGAACGGCGACCTTAAAAGTTTTGTTTTATTTAATTTTGCATAATGGAATACTCATTCTCAAAAATCAAACCATTATCAGTGAGAAACATTTGCCGAACAAATGTAAGAGCTTCAGCTAATTTTGAAGAGCCTCCGACAAACATTAAACTGAACACAAAATTTCGAGCACCCAGCCTTGTTGTTATATTTGAAAACTTTTGAAACTTAACAATACTTTCTGCAAAGCTAAGTATTCCCATGTGAACTTTACCACTTTCAATATCCATGTCAAGAATTTGTTTGGCAACAAACATTTTCATGGATTCGAATACCCGCGAATCGGAATAAGCCGATGCGTCAAATATAAATATGACGTCCATTTGGTTAAAGCAGCCGACTGCATAAAATAAACGATACATTTTTAAACATTGAAGTTCAAGAATAACATAAGAGTCATAAAATTATTTTAAAAAGTTAAACACTTTTAAACAAAAAAAAAAATAAACAAAATTTTTCATTACTTTTCAAATTGGTATCGCGAAAATTTCAAATGATTTAAATATTCTTTTGTAAAAATTTTCAACCGTTCTTACATTAATAACGTAAAAATATTTTCATAAACACTCGAATTAATCAGTTTTTGTTTTTTTTATTGATCCAAGTGTTTTTATTAAATTGTTTTTTGGTTTTCTTAATTTTCATCAGTATCTATGGGACTATTTGGGAATTTTTACAGGAACCTGAAAATCATCCGGATAACTCGAACAGTTAGATTACGTGATTGAGTATCTTAGATTCAACAACTCGGACCATATATGTAAGAAATTAAAAAATTGGGTACTGCTTAGCAATAAATGTCAAAAAACATCAAAAATACAAAAACTGAAAATAATTAAACGAAATTGCCGAAAAAATTAAAACAGGGTTCAATAACAATTTAGTAATAATAAGGTTTCAAACATTTAGTCTATAATTTCAGTGAGTTGCAAAATTTGATTTGTACTTAACGTACTATCATTTTGTGAACTATACAAACTATAATACATAAAAAAAGGTCCAGATGAGACTGATGGTCATAAATGTTTTGTCGTTCAACAAAGTTAGTTTTTATTCTATCAAACTTGTTAATTGTTAAAAGTTTATTAAATTGTTGCTTGCATTAGGCATAAAAATATTGGACCCAAAATGATGATAAAAAAAACAATAAACATGGCAGAACACTAAGAAAATTCATGGCTCCATCAAAATGATTTTTTTTAAAAGTGTGTTGAAAAATTTATCGTTGCAGTGTTCATTTTATTTTAAATTAGTTTTTGTACAGCCTTATATTGTAGAAGAAAATTTTAATATGTTCTGCCCCAAAAAATTGGCATAAGATTTTAAAGCATATTTTTTAACCTTATTTAACCATTAGAAATCCAATACTTTACTTTTTTCTAAAACAATTTAAACGGATAAATCGCTTTCCGACCTTGTGAGCAGTTTTTATTACAATGATCGTAAAATTTAAGCACGCTTAACGAAAATTATTGCTGATGGGCGATATTTACTTTTTATTCAAAGGTTAATGATAGGATATTAGTTAGATCTTATTATCACAAGCTTGATAAAAGCGATTGACTTTTTTTTAAATATATATTCATGCATCAGAACGTTAAAACTCGAGTGGGAACGTAATTAAATTTTGGCATAAAAACCTTGCGCTGGCCTCAACGTAGTTGTAGTTATTGTCGAGAAAGTAGCTGACGTTGGACGAGAGGGACAAGCAGACAGAATTTGGTTGAGCATGAAACTTCCAATTGCTTTGTTTTCTGATAAATTTGTAAAATCTATTCTCAAGAAACTGTCAGATGATGTCGCAATACTTTTGTAAACGTTTTCCAAATCCTTTTACAAAATAATTTAGTGAATATAATACAAGTTTAAACGGTAAGTAAAATAACATTTTTTTTCCAAAGCATTACAATATTTTGCAAACACTACATTTCAATACTGATCATTATAGATCCTTTCTCTAACAATAAAATTTGCATGATTGGAATTTGATTGTTCGCTAAGGAAGTGTTCACATTTTTTATAAAAACTTCTTTCCGTTCATGATTTAAGTATGTTTTTTTGGAGTTGACGTGATGTTCTTTACTATAGAGATCTTTTGTTGCGATGTCAATGGTTTTTTGACATTCATGTTCGAACGTTCTGCGTTGCGGAAATGTTTTCAAATTGTATTTCGTCAAAAATACGCTAATTAAATTTTATTGTCAACGTCGCTAAAGTTTCATCGTCGACCGAAAAGCTCAACCCAGCGAACGACTCCAGCTTATTATCGCTTACAACGGACAACGTGACTGCCCTAACTCACACCGTTCCTCTCGTAAAAAAAAGTCCTTCGTGTGTGTTACATGTAGGACTTTCTTCCATCTGCACATTTATACCTCCATACATTCACCAACAACTACTTAATAAACGTTAAACGAAACATCCGAGGCATTTTCAGTGACAGCAGGAATCTAGAATCTCTACCAACAACAACCAAGCGCCCCCTAGAGTAGAGCACTATAAAAATTAAGAGCTCTCCAGACACTATGCATAGAGCGCTATATAAATGACACATTATTACTATTTTTAATTATTATTATTCTGCCGATGAATGTAAATAAAAACTTTTTTTGCCACCGCCAGTTAATTTTTTTTAAATTTAATTTTTATCGAAATTCGCAAGAATTCTACTTTCAACATTAGCTCCCATAGCTCTGTCATCACATTTCACGACTAATTTTTAACTTTTCCTCATGAATATTCTTTCATCAACGATAATATAATATAAAATTAGTTTGATCTAAATTATCCAAAAACTAAGATTTCTAAACTTTCAGTATTTTATTGAAATATTTTTAATCTTTAACGTGCAACATCAGCGCTTACATGCCTTTTGTCCGGCGCTTCTTATAACTGCATAACCATTACATACGTTATGAATTAAATATTTCGCCAGATAATGGAAACAATTGTAAAATTGTTGTTACAGAGAAGTTTTACAAAAGTTGAAATTAATTATAAAAATTTGGTTAATCATTTACACTTACAATTCTTCCGATCGCTAAAACGATTAATTTTCCACAGATGCCTCTTAAAAGATTTTTCTCGGTATTCCATACAATCAGATCATTGCCAAACGGTGGATAGGTTGCCAGCAGAAAACACGCTATGTTTGCGTTAGTTTGTTTGTTAGGCGTGATAACATTTTCTCTGGTCCACTTTATTGCAGCACCAACAGCAAACTGTCCCCCAAGAAAGTCGAGAGATTTCATAATCAGTGAAGCTTGTGGTCCAGGTGTCGGATACGTCGCTACTTGCCAAACCTTATCGGCTGTCCAATTTTTTATTTGCAAAATTATGTTACAAACATTCACAAAAGCTAATAATAAAATGACATTCAACTGCAAATAATTCACCGTATATAGAGATAGCTACGTTGAAGTTGGTCAAATTCTGCAAAACATCTGCGACGATGGTTCTGATCGAGTACCATTGCTGCAAACGATCTCCCGAACGTGCATTGTCAGTTATGACGTTGGAGCCATCAATTATGAAGAATACATCGCAACCTTCAGTAAATAGTTCAATTCCAATTGCTATTATTATTTTAATTCTCATAAATTTAAATTATCTCAAACTTTGTTGTAGCGTTGGTTCAAAGAGGATTAACAAAAAAACTAATTTAATTGAGAAATCCATCTTCTTTTTTGTATAAATTTTGGTTTTGGGGTTGAAAACAAATCCTATAAAATACAAAACATAAATAAATGTTTAGCAAATGTTTAGCGTTGAAATATCAGTTAAGAAAATACATTGTTATTCCAAGAAACTGTTAAGAAACCTTTGCTCTATTTAGCCACTTGCATGTGTGACAAACGAAACAGTAAACCTACAATCAAATTAAAATTGTTTGTAAAGCTGACACTTGGACAAGATATAAAATGAAGTTACAATTTTGATATCGCTCCTCCACATTCGAGAATATAAAAGCAAATAAAACATTCTAAACGATAAATATAAACTCCTGTTTTGCAAAATAACAGTTCAATATTTTTAGTTTGGTAAGTTTAACAAAGGTTTATAAATAGAACATCAGGTATTTCAAAGTCACGCGTCGGTACGACATTCTTTCGTTCAATTTCGCGTGCTCTGTTAGAAAAGTTGTTGTGTGACGTAGCAGCTGAAACAAAGCCGCTTTTCAATTATTATCGCATGAATTATGAATCACTCTATGATAGGTATAGTTTGCAAAAACATCATCGACTACTTTTCTAATAATAATCTTTCAAGAAACTACAGTTTTATTTACCCAATATGGTAGGTTATACTAATTTTGTTTATTTAGTTTTCAATAAAGTTGATCTCACAATATAAAAACATTTACTTTTTTAAAACGTATTAACTGAAAGAATGTCGTTTTTAAATAAATCCTAATAGCATTAATATTATTGTTATTACTATTATGACATTGATGAGGCGAATGTTAAGCAGAACCGTTTAGCATATGAAGTGTTCATTTGGCTTCAAAAACATTCATCTCGTAATTTCAAAAGTTTTATTATTTCAACAAAAAAAAACGTCGTTGGGTTTTTGGACAAAGTAACAGAATTTTATTAAAGATCCTCATTTTTATTTACTCAAATCTAGCATATTGTTTTAAAGCCCACGTAACGCAGTTATCCTTCATGTATGTCGTGCGAGTTAGATCACAAATATGCGCACATATCAGATCTCGATGTGAATGATTTAAATAGTCGTAAACTAATCTCTCGAAGGTCATCGAACGTATTGCTGCTTGAGAATTGTTAAAATATTTGACGCATAACAAATTGTTGTCTGCTCACCAATCAGGTTACAGACAATTCCACTTTAGAGAAACTGCTCCGCTACAAATATCATCGATGTTATACTAGGCCATTGATGCTCAGAATACCTCGTTGTTAGCGTTCCTAGATATGAGCGCGACCTTTGACTGCGTAGACCATGATATGTTGTTAAAACGAATCAGCTTCAGTTTTGGAGTCACGGGGGTTGCTCACTCATGGTTAAATTTTTATCTCACGGCAAGAACGCAACAGGTTTTGTTCAATGATGAGTTGTCAGCTAGAGAGGTCGTCACATCTAACCCCAAGGGTCGGTGTTGAGACTAATACTTTTTCTTTTATAAACGTCTGACGTACAGGAAGCAATGGATAAATCTGGGGTTATCATGCTTACGCAGATGACATTCAGATGATTGTCAGCTGACCAGCCGATAAATTTCAGGATGTAAAAACTGCAAAAGTAAACGATGGCAGTTTATCATAACAAAAACCATACTGGCTCGATTGTCGCCTAGGATAAAAAAAATTGCGTTGCAGTTTTGCGAACTAGTAACTGCAATTAAAATTTTACTTCTGAATTCGGAAATATCAGAATGGTTGGGACAAATTATGTTACAGTCGGAACGTGAAATGTGCAAACGTTTTGTCAAACAGGTATAAAATAATGAAACGCGTGTTTGAAGCTTACATTCATGACGTCATTGGATTGTGTGAAGTAAGATGGACTGGCCAGGGAGAAATGAATAGAGATGAAATAATTTGATCAGGAAACAAATCCCATGAAAAAGAAGTACGAAATATGCTATCAGAAAGAGTACAAAGTTCGCTGAAGACTATTGTCCGGTAAGTGACAGGCTGATGTATGCATGTTTCAGGTGATATCCGAAAAAAAATTACAGTGAGTGTAGCCTACTCGCCAATTACCTACAGACCACAATGAAGAAGAAATTAAAGCATTTTACGAAGATTTAGAAAAAAAAATGAAACTACTAAACGCAATGTTAAGTTTTTGGTATGAGATTGGAATGCCAAAATAAAAACAGACAAAAAAGTTACGAGGATGTGATGGAATAATATGAAAGACCAAAAAAGAAAAAACATATATTTCCGTCACCCGATGGAATAAACTGAAACATTGAGAGACTTTTTAATGATAGAAAAAAAAGTGAAAATCATCAATGAAAGGATGTAGAAGCTACCCAGGAGCAACTCTTGATTCCGATCACCAACTGGTTTTATGTAATTTTCAAACCAAACTCACACGAGTGAAAAAGTAAAACAGGCTCGGCAAATTAAATACGACAATAAAAAAATCTTGCTTTGAGAATAAATGTAGAAATAAAGTAAGAAGAGAAATTGGAAAAATTTGAAGAAATAGAACTAAATGAAGATGCAAAGAAATAAGCAGTCGATTGGCCAAGATAGCAGAAAATTAAAAAAAATTGGTCACTCAAGGAATCCATGGATAAGTATTGAAACGCTATGTTTGGTGGATGAAAGAAAAAAGATCAAAAATAAGATCTCGCAAGAATAAAAAAATCTGAATAAAGCAATAAAAAAATGCAAAAGCAGGCAAAAATATTTGAATTGACAAAATATATAAATAAACAGTTAGCAACTTCAATAGAGAAAAAGTCAAAGAGACGTATAAACTGATGAAAAAAATTCAAAAAGGATTTACGACAACGACAAGAGCAGTAAAAAATACGAATGGCAAACTGCTTCTAGAAGACAGACAGATTAATGAAAGATGGGCAGAATATATAAAAAACCTTTGCATGAGAATACGTGTGAAGAAAGAATATTAGAAGAACTTAAATGAAGATCATCAGAAAATGCAAAAAAAAATTAAACGATGGAATATTAATGCAATAAGAAGTGGAAAAAGCAATATAGATGGTATAAAACAATAAAAGCTGCAGAAAAGGTTGTTTTCAAGCAAAATCAATTAAAGCATGCGGTTTGAAAATCATTGACAAAATGTAGGAAATGTGCAAAGAAATATGGGAAGATGAGAGATGGCCAGAGGACTGGTGTAAGTCAATAGCAGTCACTTAACATGCTTTGCTGATGACACGAAAGTATTTAGTAAAGGGAAGGGCATCGATGAATTGATAACAAAAACAAACACAAAAATCAAGAATATTACCGAGTGGTTTGATAGCAAAAATCGCCTAATAATGAAAAAACACAAACGATAGTCTTTGGTCCAAGAAAGTACCTTAACTACAAGAAACCGTACAAAATTTAGAAATTTAGATAAAAAAAAACGTTGAAAATAAAAAGATGAAATCAGTAAAGTTCCTCGGTGTACATTTAGATCAAAAGCTCTTATTTCAAACACACGCTGACTATATATGCAAGAGATTGTCCAGATCAATTGCCGTGATAAAAAGAGTACGATTTTATTTGCCAACTAAACATGTTTTACAATGCACTTTGTGTCCCGATTGTATCATATTGTAACATCGTCTGGGCCAACACCCTTCTATCACTTTTCCAACTGAATTGATGATGAAGAGGATCATCAAGATAGTAACTAAATCAAATTATAAAGCGCACACTGAACAGTTGTTTAGATCAACTAACGACTTAAACTTTTAAAAAAATTAATTAGTTTTTGGTCTCAATATTTGTATTCAAACAATTAAATAAAAAATTACTGGCAATGTTTCACGTCTATTATAGCCGAAAGTAAACAAAAGCGAAAGAACAAATTACATTACAGCAAATTATTCAGAAACCGATCATCTGCAGGGGACCGAGAATCTGGAATTAAATTTAAAAAAAATGGTTTCAGTATCAACGAACATCCTTGTCAAATTTTAAAGACGGAAATCACATTTGTTAACATCATTGCAAAAAAAACCGAATTGCATGTTAATGTGAATGATGGAGGGAAAACGTGTGTGAACATGTGTGTGTGAATGTGTGTAATTGAAAGTGAAAATAAGCGTGAACATGTGTGAATGTGTGTAATTGTAATTGAACGTGAATTCGAACGTATCATAGAAATGAAATGCTTATAAACAATGTGCTTTAACAATCTTTTTAAACTAAATGGGCATTGTAATTTATATTGTGTGATTTGTAAATTTTAAAACTGAACAGTTTCTATACCTGGGAAGCCTGATTACAAGAGATAATTAATTTAATAGCGAGCTTAAGACCCTCGTTGATCAAGTTGCTCCATTACATGAAGTTAGTTTTAGAGTTGATGTACCGGAACCATGGTTTGATGAGGAGTGTCTAGCAATCAAACGGCGTTGCCGAAAGTTGGAAAGAAGATATAGATCAAATCATGATTTGATATATAAAAATGAATGGCGTAATATTCTAAGAGCAAAAAAAGAACTTTTTACTAAAAAACGTAAACAGTATTGGAACAAATTAATAAATGATAATAACAACTCTAAAAATCTGTGGAAAATATTCAACAAGATCGCGTGTAAAGATAATAAATGTAATGTTTCACGTGATTTGACATCGGACCAATTTTTGATTTTTTTTCAAGAGAAAATTAATACGATTAAAGCAACAATTGGAGATTTAACGAAGCAGGTATTTGGAGTTAGTAGAATTAATGGAGATAATTTGTTCACATGTTTTGCTGAAGTTTCAGAGTCTGAAATTAAAACACTTTTACTTAAATCATCAACGAAAACATGCATGTTAGATATTATTCCGACGCATGTCTTGAAGAAATATGTTAATTTGTTCCTTACGTTCATCACAAGTTTCATCAATGCAAGTTTAAAACTTGGTATCTTTCCATCATATTGTAAACATGCCGTTGTGACTCCTCTATTAAAAAATACTAAAGACAATAAAGAAGATTTAAAAAATTATCGTCCGATATCAAATTTGTATTTCCTTTCAAAGATTGTTGAACGTGTGGTAGCTAAGCAACTTTTAACGTATTTATAACTGCACAGTCTGATGCCCATCAATCAATCTGGCTATAGGCGTCATCATAGATTTTGTCTGACCTCTATGCCTCCATTGATCGCCAGAATGTATCGCTTTTAACCTTTTTGGATATGAGTGCTGCATTTGATTGCGTGGATCACCAAATTTTATTGGATAGACAAAGTAATGATTTTGGAATAACTGGAGTAACAATTGAATGGTTTAAATCACATTTGGTCGGACGAACGCAGGTTGTTCGATTTGGTGATGTTTCATCCAAAGTTGGTTCAATTCCATATGGAGTTCCGCAGGGTTCAGTATTGGGACCGATCCTGTTTATACTGTATACTTCGGAAGTTATGAATTATTGAAATTATTGAATCTTATGATTTTAAGTGTTATGCATATGCCGATGATACCCAGGTTATGTTGACGAGTAAACCAGAATCATTCAAACAGGAGGTTCTAAGACTGGTAATGTGCTTATCTGAGGTTGATACCTGGATGACGAACAATGGATTAAAATTGAATCAATGCAAATCTAAGTTTATGCCGGTGGCAACTCGGCAGCAGTTAGCGAAAATTAACATCAGTTCGGTAAATGTCGATGGCCAAGAGATAGAATTCAGTGAAAGCGTAACAAATTTGGGCTTTGTCTTGGATTCAAATCTATCGATAAAACATCACTTGAAAATGCTCTCTTCGTCATGTACATATCAGTTGCACAGATTATATCGCATTCGAAGCCACACAGACATTGATTCAAGCTTTCATTCACTCGCGGCTTGACTATTGTAATAGTCTGTTTCTTGGCCTCCCAAAGAAATCAATTAAAGTACTGCAATCCATACAGAATAGAGCTGCGAAGGTTATCGTTGGAGGATTGAAGTTCGATCATGTGAGTCAGACTCTAAAGATCTTTATTGGCTGAATGTGGAAAAACGGATAACTTTTAAAATGTGTATTTTGATGTATAAAGCCATGAATGGAATCTTGCCCAGATATTTGTTGGAAATAATCAAGAAAAAATCAGTGACCATAGATGGCATTCGCTTGAGAAGTGATTGCTCAAATTTAATGATAGCAAACAGTGCTCACTTGTGTATTGGTGCACGAGGGATTGCTGTTGCGGGTCCAGTGTTATGGAATGGTCTACCAGAGTCCCTGAAGAAGCCGGAAATGAACATGGATGCTTTCAAGAAGAATCTCAAGACTTATTTGTTTTCGATTTGATTTTTGTTTTGTTATCATGTACACGTACTCAAACAATTGTTTATTTTCTCGACTACAAAGTAGCGCTTTTGAAATTTTTTCTTTTTTTTAATTGGTGCTTTATAAATTTTTGAAATAAAAATAATAATAATAATAATAATTGCAGCTTAGAAATCAAACGAAGAATTGGCATCGCAGCAGGGAATGGAATATGGAAAAACACAATTATATCTCTTAAGACTTAAAAACTAACTAAAGTTAGTGGATCCATATGTAATGTCAACATTATTGCACGCATGGGAAGCATGGACATTGAATAAAGAAGACAAAAGAAATCTAGATGCATTTGAGATGGTGCAATTTCACTTTACAATTCTACGGTTTTGAGTGATAAACATTTTTCCACAGTAGTGATGTGATAAAAACTGACGTGTTTTTATGTTTTTTGTCGATATTTTAGATTTGAAACTGTTCGTGAAACACTTTAATATTTCAGAAATTTTAAACTGTGTTTCTTCGAATGTTGGCAATAGTGAAAGCAAGCGGAGGGTGGTCGTTTACAACATAAAAATACAGTGTAATGACATAATTGCTTCTAGGAAAGACAAAGTTCAGATTAATCTTCATTTCACTTATGCGTAATTTAATGGTTCCATTTAAACTCTAGATCATTAATTTCATTTTGTAAATTTACCGGTATCTCGCAGTATCTCTTTCATATTAAATTACTCCATTACTTATGCCTTATAATGGGTGTAAAACTGTAAAACAAAAGTTGAATATAAAGAAAAACTTACAAACTAAAAAGAAAGAGATGTATTGTTACATCACTAAAATTATTCCAATATTCTAAAGTGAACCACCAAGTAAAGTGACGGAGGAAGTTCTAGAATTGGCCTCAATTTAATTAGTTTTAATTATTTTTTAAAATTACCGAGTTAAATAAATTTGTTACATTTTATTTAATTTAGACAATGGTAAAATTTTCGAACTCGTTTTTCAGCAGTCGAACCTCTACTTCCATTGATTCTGATAAGACTGGTAACCTGAAAAATTATAACAACATGGCGGAAGTAGAAATGAGAAATATTCGCTCACATATGAATTTGTTCCACGTTGTGAAGTACCATATGTGCGATTATGTCGAATTTTACTATTTCCATAAAAATTTTATGGAACATTGTAATTTGGAATTACAAAGACTGCGTCAGGTAATTTTTTTAAGCTTTTCTTTTAAATACTAGTTTTTAATTTTTTATGATTTTAATTTTTAATTATCTTTTTGTATTCTGTTTAATAAATTTTTATTTAATTTTTTATTTATATTTAAGTTTTAATTAAAAATAAAATGATAAACTTATTTTTTATATTGATATCCTTAATCTAAATTCTAAATTATCATTAAATTTTAAAATAACATTTTCTAGTATACAACAATCCTACACGGTTTACCAGGAAATATTTTTTATTCACCAGGCAGGCTTTTTAAAATGAGACATAAGAGGATTAAATTAAAATTAAGCTTAAGTTAAACAACGCAGAAGAAATAGAATAGACAATAGAGCAATCACTACACCCTCATGTTCTATTCTATAGTAACTGATAAATATAATGGTGTAATAAATGTATATGCACAAAATTAAATGGTTCATATTTAATAAAATAAATATACAACAATTCAATAGAAAGAAATTTGAAAAATAGGACTCATTCAATGGTACAAAATCAGTTTTTAAACAATGTGTAAGTGAAAGCAATGTACTTCAGTTAAACTTCAGTTATACATTGTAGTTGGTACTCATGCTAAAATAGTGTATGTATTTAAATAATTTGTCAATTGCTTGGAGTCATATTAGAAAAATCTTTGGCAAATTTACAGAAAAAAGATGTACAAATCTAATAATGAAATAATTATCTAAAAATATTCATAACTTTTTCTTTACTCTCAAGCAGAGTTTATATTATTTTTGTCATGGCAAATCAGTGGAAATGTTGATGAATGAATCTCTTCATTTAAATAAAATTACTTAATTATGTGGCAGGAGGCATCGTTAAAGAATTATGAGAACAAATCGACTGATAAAGATACATCTGCTTGGATGAAGCATTTGATTGCTGGCGGTTTTGCAGGGGCAGTCTCCAGGACATGCACAGCTCCTCTTGACAGAATTAAAGTTACTCTTCAGGTTTCTTTATTTGTAAATTTTCGAAATGCAAAATTGCTCTTGTAACTTTTTTCTTTTTTTTTGTTTTAGACATTGTTTATTATTTGAATTCAGAAGGTAAATTGCTACAACTTCTTGAATATTAAAAACTGCATGAAACTTTCACCAGTTTTCACCATGCAATCAAATTGTGAAACAGATGTTGCTAGCTAATTCCTATACAATTCCTATTGCTACATTAAGCTACATTGCTACATTGAATTCTAAATTCAAATGAATTGAATTATAAAGGCTACATTTATAATTCAATTCAATCATAAATTGAATTGAATAACAATTCAATTTATAAACGAATTGAATTGTTTATAAATGTATGTTTATTGCTTGTTGCAGGTGCAAGCGTTGCAGAAGAAGAATGTGACACTGCCTCTTATAATAAAACAGATGATGGAAGAAGGAGGACTGAGATCATTTTGGCGAGGAAATGGAATTAATGTTGCTAAAGTCATCCCAGAAATGGCCACAAAATTTACCATTTATGATGGGGTATTTTTCATTTTTAAAAATTTGGTTTTTTAAATTTTGTCTTTAAGCAGTTTATTAAATAAAAATTGAGTGAAACTTCTAAATTTTGTTTGGTTTGTATGATCATTGATTCATCAATACTAGAGCAACACCCAATCTTCACTTAAATGATCATCAGTTTTTAGATGCTCACTGAGCATTGTTTATATTTTCATTTGCCACATCAGATTGATTTGAACATATTTAAACCTGTCAAAATTTGCAGGAAAGTTTTTTAAAACTGTTGGCTTCATTAAAAAAATTCATCTAGATATTATACATATATATATTATAAAAATCAAAAAATTAAACAAACTAATACGGAATGATATGATTTTCATCAATTATTGCATTTCCGACAGTCTTAATCCTATATATGTGTATATATATATATATATATATATATATATATATATATATATATATTATTATCAAAAGATGTATCTAGCGCTCGTTAGTTAAAATTCAAAAGCGCCATCAAAATATAAAATAACACAAAATTAAACATAAGATTAAACATGTCCTCACTAAAATAAAGTTAAACGTAGAAATAATTGTCTGGCTGCAAAAAACTGTAACAATTCAACACAATTACAAAAAAAACACTATAGAACAATTCAAAAATTAAGATATCACTGTAACGAAAACAAAAGTGTTTTGAGTTTCTTTCTGAAGCCTGTCATGGTCAACCCAATGTCCCTGAGCGAAGCTGGCAGACCATTCCAGATAGTCGATCCTGAAACAGCAAAGCTTCGTGAACCAATACACAAATTTGTAGCAGGAACTATCAACCGATTCATATAAAATGATCTTAGATAAATTCCAGTCGGACGTGGCAAATCACAGGTGATCCTATCCTGCAGATACTTTGGAGCACTACCTCTGAGTACCTTATACATCAAAATAGAAATTTTGTAAATTATTCTCTTATCAACAGTTAGCCAGTGCAAATCTTCAAGTGTAGGTGTCACATGATCATCCCATCGACTGCCAACCACAACCCTAGCCGCACGATTTTGCAAAGACTGCAATACATGGATGGATTTGTACGGCAATCCATAATACAAACTGTTGCAGTAATCAACTCTCGAGTGAACAAATGCATGAACCAGCGTCTGAAGCGTAGAGACGTTCAATGATCCACGAATTTGATTCAATCCTCTAATCTGATAAATGTAATCTCTTGAAGCCCTCTTGATATGGTGCTTCATTGTTAGATTCGAATCAAAAATCACACCCAGATTAGTCGCATTGTTACAAAATAAAATTGTCTCTTCATCAACTGTGATCGAGTTTATCTTCAATTTTGACAACTGCTGCCATGTTCCTACTGGCAAAAGTTTAGTTTTATTTCGGTTTAATTTCAAGCCATTTTGCGACATCCATAAATCAACAGCTGACAAGCATTCTACAAATTTTTTCATTTCCAACGGGAATGAATCTATTTTACTATTAACTATTATTTGAATATCGTCCGCAAAAGCGTGACTTGTCAACCCAAATGATTCAACTACGTTAAATACCTCTGACATTAGAGCAGAAACAACAACGGGCCAAGAACCGACCCCTGCGGCACACAAAAGACAACCCCACTGACGTCTGACATCTTACCTCCAAATGATACTTGCTGAGATCTACCAACCAAATAAGATTTCATCCATTCTAACACTCCATCAGAAAAACCAAAACCATATTGCAATCTATCTAAAAGAATCCTGTGATCAACACAATCAAATGCCGCACTCATATCAAGGAAAGCTAGGAGTGATATCTTCTGTACATCCATTGTTGAACAGAGATCTGAAAAAACCTGCAACAGCGCCGTCTCTGTAGAATGGCACTGTCTAAAGCCGGACTGATGAACAGGCAACAAATTGTTACTCTTCAAGTGATCCAGTATCTGTTCAGCAACCAACCGTTCAATAAGCTTAGAGGTAAAACAGAGATTAGAAACCGGTCTGTAGCTGCTGATTTCACCAGGATCGAGATTATTTTTCTTCAAAAGAAGACGCAAAATTGCATGTTTACACCCCCCAGGAAATTGACCAGTTTTCAAAGACAGATTAACCAAACTTGTCAAAAAAGGAGCGAAGAGATTAACATGTTTCTTAATGATGTCAGTTGGAATAATATCTTGTTGGCACGATTTTGCCGTTGATTTCTTAACTACCATTATAACATCATCATTAGTAACTTCTGAAAATGAAGTAAAAGTATCTCTGATTACAAACTCTGAACAGATGGGGCCCAGACATTCCAAAATTTTTGTATCCTGCTTCACCTTCAGTAACTTTTTCGTAAAAAAAATCCAAAAATTGATTAGCAGACAACACATTAGTATCAACACCAACATCTTCATTTCTACTCCTGCAAAGAATTCTATCAATCACCCTCCATAGGTTTTTTGGATTACCCTTGTTTTCATCAACAATTCCGATCCAGTACAATTGGCGTTTACTAGCAAAAAGATTATATTTCTCTTTTAGGGCAGATTTCCATTCCTCACGATGAGTGGTTTTCAAACTTTTCTTAAACGCTCTTTCTTTTCTTCTACAAACATGCTTCATTCGAATACATTCATCATCAAACCATGGTGCTACCCGATCGATATATATGTATGTATATAACTATATATGCATATCTAGTCTTAATTTATTAATGTTAATTAATATTAATTTTGCTTGATTTATAGATTTTATGAGTGTCCATCCAATGTGTATAATATAGTAAATGTTCAAACAATCTTTTGCCCACGTTACTCCAAATTATTGTTCTGAACGGTAGAATTTGATGTTTCCAGCTGATCAATGTTAAAAACTATCGATTTCATATTTTTATATATAATGTATATGTTCCAGGTTTGATTTTTGTAATAACTTTATTGTTTATTACTCTTTATCAGATTAAAAATAAGCTGAAAACATTGAAAGGCAAAAGTGAGTTGGAAGTGATGGATCGATTGGTTGCTGGCTCCATGGCAGGAATGATTTCTCAGTCACTCATATTTCCACTCGAGGTGACCATTCTGATATATTGCAATATTTTTATATAATACATTCTTATTATAAAATATGTCTACATTAATTAATGATTTTCAACATACACAACTTCCAACCCCCAAAAAATTTTTCCTTACATCTAAAAGGTAGTTTAATAAATTTTTACTTATGAATCATTGCAAATGAATTGTACAGAAATAGTCTGCTAGTGAACTAAGTGGTTATTCTTCATATTGTATAATAATTTAATATGTTGTTAATAACATGCACTGCTTGTGTGTAACTGTCACTTTCTTATCTCTCAAGCTGCTTGCTGTCTACTCTTTTTAATATCTCCTGCTTATATTAGTATATAACTAACATTGTGTTGATGCTTAATGTAGTTGTCTGTATTGCTTCCTACTTTTAAGAATTGTACTCATTATTTATAATTTTATTTAAAACATTGACTATGATGTCTGTTCCATTGAAATTTTGCAAACTTATAGTTAGCATTATTGAAGGTTGATTCTGTAGATGTAAATTGGCAGGTTGTAAGGTATCAATGAATCTGAAAGGCTCACATGGTCATTTTGATTGTTGATAGGCAGCCAAGTTATTTAAAATGCCATTAATTGTAAATGATGTTTGTTGTATGAATGAACAACGTCCTACCTCGGGGAACCGGGTCTCTGGACGCAAAACGAAGATTGATTGATTGTTTGTTGTATGAATGAACAAGCACTCAGGCATATGTGATGATTTATTTCTTTTTTGTGATATTGTTAGGAGATGGAAGATAATAATTTGACATCCACATCGGTTAGGATGATGCAATCAGTGCAAATGCAAATGCAAATAGTTTTAAAAGCAATATTATTATTATGTTTTAATTTCTAGAAGAAATTCGTTTAATGTGAGAATTTTCATAACATTGTTGTAAATATGTACTTGATTTGCATGTATACATAAGTGTAATTTTAATTATAACTGGTGTATGTTTCGTTTTGATTATATACCCAGTGTTTTTTTTTCAGTTTGTTTATAATTATTTCTAATTTTAAAAAAAATATTTTCATGTTTATTATTTACTAACACTTAATTGCCTTTATTCATGTTGTTATTAATCATCTTTTAAGTGTTATTGACAAAGTCAAAATAGTAGAATGAAGGGGGTATGTCCATATATCTTGATAAATAGAGGAGTGCTTGTTGAATGGGAGTGTATATATTTTAATGTTATATCAAATTAACGTTATTAACTCATTTTAAATGAGTCATTTTGTAAAAAATTTTTCTTTCTTACAGTTTAAACTAAATCTGTTAATGCATCTTCAATTTTCATTTTATGGTTATCAAATTTTTGAATATCTTTGTTCATTAGTAGATTTCTTAAAGAACTTTGATAAAATTTATCAATTATTAAATTGCTCACATAGACATATTATCTAAACTTTAATCATGAGTGTTTCTTGGAACAATCATGATTAAAATTGATCAGTATTGTATTGCAATTTTCAATTTTGAGAAGTTTCCAACTATGTTAATTTTTTTATCTAATTAGATGTTGTTGTTATTATTATTATTATTCACTCGAATTGGCATTCCTCATAGTATGGAATGAGATATTAATTCCAAAATATTGTAATCATAAAATGAAATTGAATGTAAGAATTGATGGTTAAAGTTTCTAATGTAGGAAAGAATAATTTTTCAGCTCTTTTTTTAAAACTTCTGTTTAAAAATCTGCTTTAATTTTGTTGGAAGTTCATTCCGCACTAGAAAGAGAGTGAACCTGCTCACTTCTGCCATTAAGCTTCGTCCTCCTCCTTCCTACCTGCTTCAACGTCACCTCCTGCAACTGCCATGAAAAAATTCTTCAGTAATTCAGCTTCTTTACCAATAAGCCACGCTACCATCTTTTATCCAATTAAGATTGTGCTTTTAGAAGATTAATGTGTATCGATATGAAACCTTCTTTAATACTGAGAATTTAAGCTTTACAAATTTAAATAAAATCACATAATTTTTTTTATTATGTTTTTATACATAAATGTAAAGCTATTTTACTACGAAAAACATTTACATCGATAGATTTTAAACTATTTTTTACTATGTTATTTCTTGTTTTATGGGAGTCAACCCTATATAAGCATTTATTGCTAGGCTGACTCTTTCACTTTTTTTGTGAATAAATGGAATTTAAAAAAAACTGTTTTTTAAAGTATTTTTCGTCTGGTAGTAAGTAATAAATAGGTAAAGTTATGATGCAAAAGTTGAAAATTTTTTCTCGAAGTCACAATCCAAGGTCGGAAATTTAAAGTTGGAGTTGAATATTTTTCATCCAACTCCACCCTCCTGGATTTTGGTTGATAGTAATGTTTTGATGAGCTTCATTGATAAGCAATAATAATCATTATTCAGGTTTTAAAGACAAGGTTGGTGCTACGAACGTCATCAGAGACATGCCGGTCATGCATTCAGAGAGTCTTCAGTAACAAGAATAATATGCTGAGGAATTTATTCAGAGGCTATGTACCAAACATTATCGGCATCATTCCTTATGCAGGCATCGATCTCGCTATATACGAAGTATGTTTTTTCAATTTTTATATTGGTAAATGTTTTATATTTTAAAAATTTGTCTCCATAGAGTAATTCATTTCATTGTTCAGCATTCGTTAAATCAGTCACTTTTCGTTTTTTTCTATTAGGGTTAGAGGGTTTACATAGAAATGTGAATTGCTAAATTAACTTAGTGATAATTTATTTTACAGACACTAAAGAGAGAATACATGTCTCAACAAAGTGACTCTACAGAGCCACAGACGTTAGTTCTGCTGACATGTGGTGTGGTAAGCAGTTCATGTGGACAGATTGTCAGCTATCCCCTAAATCTCATCAAAACAAGATTCCAGGCACAATTAGGTTGTTTTCATCAATTTAATTACAAATGTGCTTATGGAGAATAAGATGTTAATTGCTTTCAAAAAGTTGGGTGATACTCACATGGAAAGTTCATTTCACTGATTATAAGTATAAGATCTGCTTAGCACGTTTTGTCTGAAAAATCAACTTTTTTGCATCGTCTCTGTTTGGACCAATTTTTAATTTTTTGAAATAAGAAGTAATAATAATATATTATGTTTCATTAATTTGAACGAGGTTTTTTGATTGTTAATGAAAAATTTTATTCAGAACCAGATTGCTCGTTGGTATCAACAGTACGTACAATTGTTGTAAGTGATGGATTGTCCGGTTTATACAGAGGTCTTTCTGCTAACCTCATGAAGGTTGCTCCATCTGTGGCTATTGGCTATGTTGTTTATGAACATTCAAGAAGTTTTCTGGGTGCCTCCATGTCCTGATTTTTTCATTTTTAGGAATTTTTTTAAATATTTATATAAATATACATATTTATTTTCTTTCAACTTATATTAGGCAATTATGAAAATTTATCTACTCCTGCATGGAGCGTACCACTTTCAGATATTGTGCATTTTTGTGTATTATTCATGTTGTATGTTCT